AGAAGCAAAGTTACAAAGGACTACATATTATATGATTCCACTTAAATCAAAATAGTCAATCAGTCTGGACAAATTAGTGATTGCCAGGGGCTGAAAAGGGACAAAAGGATAGAGGGATGATGATTAAAGGATATAAAGGTTTCTTTCTGAGATGACAAAAACATTCCAACACTGACTGATGATAGATGTGTGATTCTATGGATATACTGAGAGCCACTGAATTATACATTTTTGATTTTGGTTAATTTGGACAGGGTCTCTCTCTATATATACCCTATGCTGCCCGCAAACTCTGGGCCAACCTCTTGCATCAGCCTAAGTGATGGGATTACAGGTGTGAACCAGCACACAGAACAAATTGTACATTGAATTTCACAACAATAAAGCTGCTAAACACTGGTTGAAATGTCATAACACATCTTTTAAAAGGCAACAGCCTGAGAGCCATGGGGGTCCCACAGAAAATTTCATAAAGGGTGGAAGGAGTGAAGAACAGGGAAATTAAAGGAATTTTTTTTTTGAGAGCAATGAGTCCAACCATCCTCTTCAGCACTACCCATTTCATGGGTTGAGAAATCAAGACCCAGAAAAGACCACACAAAAGCTTAGTACAGAAACAGGACTCCCAATTTACATTGCCATGGCAGGGACCATGTACTGTTTCTCCACCAGCCAGCCACCCAATTCCAGAAGGGGTACAATGAGTCCAAGGCATGGGCAAGTTTTCAGATGCCAAGAGATAGGATACTGGGAAGAAGCAAAATGGTCCTGGGGCAAACTGCTCATTCTGGAAAAGAACTAACCAAGGTCCAAGATGGGCAAGGCCAGATATTTACACTCTTCATAACCCTAATCAGGGATGAATGTTTTGCAGAAACTGGCAATTCAGAGTTTTACAATTGAAAAGTAGCTCAGGGGGCTGGAGAGATGGCTTGGAGGCTAAGAGGACTGGCTGCTCTTGCAGAGGACCCAGGTTTGAGTCCCAGCACCCACATGATGGCCAACAACATTCCATAACTCCAGTTCCAGGAGATCCAGCACTCTCTTCTGACCTCTTCAGGCACTGCACGACACAGGTGCATCTACCTACATATGCAGGCAATACACTCATACACATAACATAAAAATAGTAATAGAAAAGCAGCTCAGCAAGAAACATGGTGGTGTGCCAGTCCTGGTAGTACACACCTTTAATCCCAGCATTCAGGAAGCAGAAGCAGGCAGATCTCTGCAAGCTTAGACGGCTAGGAGGGAACAGTGAAAGCAAGCAGAGCTGAGACAGAAAGAAGCAGAGAAACAGTAGTTCTCTTCAAAAGACACCTACACAGATGTGGTAGCGCACGCCTTTAATTTCAGCGCTTAGGAGGAAGAGGGAGGTGGATCTCTGAGTTCGAGACCAGACTGGTCTACACAGTGAGTTCCAGGCCAGCTAGGGCTACAGGAAGACCCTCTTGCTCAAAAAGGCAGAATAATAACAGTAATAAAACCAAAAAATTTTAGCTGGGTGTGGTAGTGCACACTTTTAACCTCAGCACTTGGGAGACAAGAGGCAAGCATATCTCTGTGAGTTCAAGGCCAGCCTTCCAGGCCAGCTCCAGCTACAGGGAGACCCTGAGTTGCCTAAAATCTCAAAGCTAACACTCATCAGCATCTTATCCAAACAGGAAGGAGAAAAAGATGCAATGAGAAGAACTAGAAGCTATAGTAGCTCTCTGGAAAAATATGACAGATTCAGAGGTGGAACACAGCCACTCAGATTATATTACTAAGCCCAGTGTTTTCTACTATTTCAGCAAGCATGGCATTTTCTCCAAGAGCTCAGTGTGGTCTCCAAAAGCTCAGGATGCTTACAAGCCATTATTTTCAGTTGGTAGGCTATCAGTGGGGCAATCATGCCTGAAAAAGGAACCCTCTGATATCATCTCGCCAGTACCTTAACCCCAGATGCCAGAAGAATACTAGAGGAAGCACGAGTATATGTTTACAGAACTGGGACCAGATTTACTATTCAGACTTATCACCATGCCCTTCTGCCCAAGGTATCAAACTGGTCTCCAGGTAATAAACACCCCTGGTGACAATTTCAGACCAAGATTGGGATAACAGTTACAATCTCACCTCTTCTCATGCCCAAAAGGTTTAAAGTTGGACCAGGTAAGGCAAGGAAAAGAGGAGCATCTTCTTTTCTTTGTCCCCACAGCAAAACAGAAAGCCTCTCCTCCATCAGGAAAGAGCAGGCTTCATTAGTCTATCAGCTGATCTTACTTCCATGTTCCTATGAGGACAAATATAAGGACAGAACTGCGAGGAGGTCTAATACACGGACTCTTGCCTTGTCATGAACAGTATTAATACCTTCTTCTGTCCCTAGGACCAGGGATGTATAGCTCTGTAAAGGGGAGACTTTGTAAGAACCACAGATTCACAACTCAGGGGCTGACCCCTGTTGAATCGAGATCTATCCTGCTAGAAATGATAGGTATGAAAGGAACAAGAGCATCAGGTTCAAGACCACACCTTGTCCCCTGTAGAGATTTAAGACAAAAGGAAATGTGGGAGAAGAAATTTCCAGGAATGAGGATGCCCCAAGTTCCTTCCTGGTCTTTGAGAAGAAAAACACTTGTTGAAAACAATTCAGAACTTAGACCAGCTCCAGAAGCCTGGAAGTGGAAAGCAACAACTAAACAAGCTCAGAATCTCCACCCGTTCTAGGCCCAGGCTTCAAGGCTCCAGGACCTGATAGTCAACTTGCAGACCTTCTTGGCTCTGACCTGAGGGTAAGGAACTGTTATGATCTTAAGAACACCTAGGTCCTACCCAAAGGAGGAAGCCTCTGGCCACGCTGATGATGACTTCATGTCCTCTCCCTGGTGAGAAAGGATCACCTGGTATGGTGGGAAGAAGGGCAGCATTCCTAAGTGAAGACTCAGGCCTCAGTCCTTAAGGTAAATAATCTCTTGTCCTGAAGGGAATGGCCCAATTCCCCAAGAAAGAGGCCAATATTATTTTCCTCAGAATTGTGCCCTGTCCATGTCTTAAGCTCAAATTCCCCAGGGAATCTTATGTTCCTGAAAGACCCCTATGATGAGTATACTTATGTTATCTGAAGTGATTGCCTCAGAGTAGATTCAGGTCTCAGATCCTAAGGTGCTGAAGTCCTTCAAACAACTGATGTAAAACTGAAAGGCCTTGGATAGACACTAAGACCCTGTTCCTCAAGGACTCTATAATCATGCCCCCAAAGAAGGGTGTCAGGGTTCAGTTCAAATGGAAAGAGGCATCCTGTCTCTGAGTACAAACTTAAGTTCCTTGAGGATGAACTTCAGACATTATCTCTAGAAACCTAACAGTCTTTGGGGCATGTATGGGGCTCCTATCACTAAGGGAAATCTCATGTCTTTAGCAGTAAAGTCTCAATCCCTTGAAGGTAGGTTTAACTCTGTTGGGAGACCTCAGACATCACCTCTCAGTCTCCACACTGTCCGTGTCCTAAGGACACAGCTAGAGTTTCCGAGGCAGGGAGGGACTAGATAGGGTTAGGGTGAGTTTTCATGGCAGACTCTGACACATCATCTGCAAAGCCAATAGGTGGTAATTCTCCGGGAGTTACAGGTGGGATGGAGACCTTTCCTGATGAGAAGGTTTCAGGTTGTTCCAAGGAACTTAATCTGTGTTTAGTGACATGAGAGCTGGTTTCCTGTGAAAGGCCCTTGGGAATCAAACAGACGTCATCAGATCCATTTAAGAGGAAAAATAGGATGTTAAATCCTCAGCATACTTTCAATCCTTATGACTCCTATATCCTTGAAGGGGGGGGTTCTCGGACTCCCAAGAACACCAGTCTATAAGGAAAACATCTCCTGTCTTCACCTTGCCTAGAATATCTATGTAGGGAAGTATTAGATCCCAGAAGAAACCAGAAACCCAGTCATTTAAAAAACCCTAGTTCAGTTGGGCAAGGTGGTGCATGCCTTTTTATCCCAGCACTCGGGAGGCAGAGGCAGGCGAATCTCTGTGAGTTCAAGGTCAGCCTCGTCTACAGTGAGTTCCAGGCCAGCTGGGGCTACAAGGAGACCCTGTATCAAAAAGACCAGAAAAAAAACACCGCAGTTCATAAGCAATACGAAAGCTTTGAGTCTCATTCACTTAATTCAGAAGGCTCAGAGCCCCTCCTTGAACGGCGGTGGTGGGCAAAAGACCTGAGAATAAATCTGGTCTCCAAGAAGGGAGGTCTCATGGCCACTGGTTCAAAATACAGACCCTTGCCACTCAGAAAGGAGATGAGATTCATGTATATAGGTAGTCTCTGGCCCTGGATTTGGTTTGGTGTTTGTCCCAAAGGGTAGAGAATAACTTTCTGAGAGAAGTTTTACACCCCTGGAGGAAAGCATGGGAAATCACTCTCCAGAGAGTGTGTAGGTAGTCCCTAAACCCTCAACTCTATAAGGAGGTCCAGGCCCCTAAAAGCAGGCTTAGGACCTGAAGAAGCCTCAGATGCCAATGGTGAACAGCTCTGTCAACTCTGCAAAGGGGAGGAGGGTCATCTTGTATGAAGAGTGTTAGAATCTTGAAAAGGTTTAGGTTTCAGACCCAATCTTTGATGACCGCAACTTGAGTTCTTTGGAGAGGAAATTTCAGGCTTATCCCAAAGAAAAAGAGCTCTCAAGCCGCTGAACACAGCTGTAAGACACCTGAGATCTCCCTCTCAAGAAGGGCTCCATCCTGCCCATGACTTCTGGAGAATTCCGACCATCAATCTTACAAATGAGATCCCACGACCAGGACTGACAAGTACAGGCCCTAAAAAGAGTTCCCAGATCTCTATTTAAGCATCTTGCCTTATTTGGAGTCCCTTAATACCAAGTCGTTGGGGAGAATGAGAGTTTCATCATGCCTCCACCACCTGAGAAGACTGTCAGACCCTGCAAGACCTAGGCCCTTTTCTCAGTCCGGTGAACTCATTTGCTCTACCTGCCACCACCTCACCTTCCAGCCCTTACCTGCTCTACAGTGGCAGGATCCATGGCCTCAATTCGTGCCGCAGCTGCTTCATATTCATCCTCACTGTTGTAGCCTGCGCCGACCTCTTCACGCTCTGGACTGCCCCCGCCAACTGCGCCAACGCCGGGAGCTTGACGCCGCCGCTTGCTGTGCCCGGGCCCCGAGCAGCAGCCGCCCACGCCCACGGCACCACCCACGCCCACCACCACCCCTGCCGCGCCCACCCCCGCAGTTGCCGCACCAAGAGCGTCACCAGGACCGCCGCCGGGGCCACCAGGGCCCCCACAAGGAGGTGGAGAGGCCTGTTGTGGCCGAGGGCCCGCCACAGCACCAGGCGGCACGGCTAGTGCCCAACGGTGAAGAGCACCAGGCGGCCCCGGTAGGGGGCCCTGGGGTGGTGGTGAAGCCCGGGGACGGGCCCCCACGACGCCAGAGTCACGGTCGCGATCTCCACCACCCACTCCTGTGCCGCCGCCGCCCACGCCCACACCCCCACCGCGCCGAGGCGCCGGGGGCAGCGGCCCGGGCGGCGGCGGTTCGTTGGCCGGATCGGCGTCGGGAGGCGGCGGCTTCTTTTTGGGGAGAATAGTCATGGCGGCACCGCCAAGTACCCCACAGCAAACCAGCCGCGGAGAACGCCGGGAGAAAACCCGGATGAGGGGGCTACTGTTGTGCGCTAAGCACGACGGGAACAGCAAGGCCTGGATAAAGAGATCGGGGTACCGGTTCGAGAACCGTAAGTGGCACGCAGGTCTCGCCCGGAGGGAATCCCGGATGTGAAGTCGGGAATAGGAAGGCACAACGACGAGTTTTTCCTATCCTTTTCCCCACGTCCAGTCAAGCTTATTGCTACCTTGTTCCGGGATTCGGCTTCAGAGGAAACAACCAAAACAAGTACCTCTTCGCCCCGCCCCTCGCAGGTTCTTGAACTACCGGGTGGGGCCGCTGGGGCTCTGCGCATGCGCAACAGGACACAGCCCCCCCCCCCCCCCCCCCCCCCCTTTTTTTTTTTTTTTTTTTAAAAAAATTTTTTTTTTTTCCCCCCTTGTTTTTCGCACCCGCGCTCACAATTGCTGACACCAACCAATTGAAGAAGCTCGCTAAGGCCTTGACAACTCCCACGAGCCAATCAGAGGTGAATGTTGGCTCTCCTGTGCTGTCTCAAATTTCAAAGTCTGCAGCCTCGTTCCCAGCTTTGCTCTTCGGTTCCGTAATGCCCTTTACTTTCTTAGAGGCTCTGTCCTTCAGGCCTAAGTACTGCGAAAAGAGAGGGTGGTCTGCCTCGCAAACAACAAAACACCTCTCTTTAGGACTCCCAATTGGAACGCAGTCAGCCAGACTTAACAGGAAAATATCAACATTCCCAGAGCATAGCCTTCCGCTGTAGCGTCATTTCCGGTCCCACCATCTACAAATCCGAAGAGGCGGACACCACTTCACCCTGGCAACAGGCTAACTCCTGCAGCGATTGGTTGAGAGACGCTGTCCATCACTTCAGTCAGGCCAACCGCCAGCTAGACATGCACTCTAGGGACTGTTGGTGTTTGGAGGAAAGGCACACCTTCTCTGACACCTCCGCCCTCTCGCCCTCCCGTTGACCTCTCGACGCCTATAGCTACTGCGCAGGCGTAGTACAGCCTTTATTATCTCCCTCCCTCCCCCAGAAGTTAGTTTGCTAAAAACAAGAGAATATTTATGACCAGCTCTGTGACCAGCCAGTGTCTTTCACTGTTGGGAAAATCCTTGATGTTGAAGCGGTTGGGACTCTACTACCTAATACTTCTCAGGCCCTTGATGTCCGAGTGACTTTGGCAAGTCAGTTAACACCCAGTCCAATCTCAATTTCTACTTCCCTATAAGATGGATATAATTTCAATATGAATGTTAGTGATTAATGATAGTAAATTGCCTGTGTTGTCCCTGGCACATAGTAAGTGATCTCTAAATTATGTATGGTTACGTATATATGGTTCCTGGGTTTTGCTATAAGACCTCAGTTCCAGGCACAGATGGATCATTACAAACTATATCACCTTGTGCAAATCATTGTCTCTTTTGAGATAACCCATCAAAAGTGCAGTATCAAAAATGGGGCTTCTGGGCTGGAGAGATAGCTTAGTGGTTGCTCTTGTAGAGGATACAGGTTTGATTCCCAGGACCCACATGGTGGCTAACAACCATCCATAATTCTAGTTCCAAGGGATCCAACACCCTCTTCTGGCTTCTATGGGCACTGCGTGATACAGGTGCGCTTACATATATATGCAGGCATAACACTCATACACATAAAAAATTTTAAAAATGGGGCCCAGCATGGTGGTGAACACCTTTAATTCCAGCACTTGGGGAACAGACACAGGTGGACCCCTGTGAGATCAAGGCCAGCTTGGTCATCATATCAAGTTCCTGGCCAGCTGAGGCTACAGGGAGACCCTGTCTCAAAAAGACCAAAAAAATAAATAAAGTAAAAACAGGGCTGGAGGGATAGTGCAGCCGTTAAAGGCTAAGGCTAACAACCGAAAAATAAAAACAAAAATAAAAAAAGATAAAGGGTTGAGGTGAGGTCCTTGTCATTCCCAGAAGCCAAGCCATACACCCACCAAGCTGACTGAGAGACCACTGAAAAGCTTTTCTGAGTGTCACCTAACCTCTTCTCCTCAGATGCTAACCCTCACTGAAGCTCTTCCCTGAAAGGCATTAGTGATGCCTGGGTACACATGGGTCCTAGTGGTGTTTTCTGCCTCTGAGACCTTATGGGAAGAGGGGACTCATATCTACTGGGCCTTCTATGTTCAAGGCTTTTGTGCCAATTGCCTGTGCACACTACACCAAATCTTCCCACAGTTTTCTCCAGATCCATATATTCCATGCCCTACTGGACATCTGCCCAGCACCTACCCATCTAAAAGTGAACTCATAATATTCATGACTAGTCTTCACCCCATACTTACTGTGTACCTGGCTGCATTGTTTTTTATGTTTCCTTTAACAGAAAGAGTACCCCAGCCAGTCGCTGCCCAAACCAAAAACCTAGGAGTCAAACTTGACTGCTTCCTCTTCGCTAATTCCCATATGCCTGTCAATCCCAAGGCCTGTTCTATCTCTGAAAGGTTGTGACTCTCCAGTATGGTTATTACTCTGGCCAAGCCACCATCCCATACCAACTGGACTACCACAAAAGCACTTTATTGATCTTCCTTCATCCAGAGAGCCTGTAACTTAAGTTTATAACTTACTCTCCACAGCAAAAATGATCCTTCTGAAATGCACACCTAATAACTTTCCTGTTTGAGTCTTCAGACCCTTTCCCCCATACCTAGGACAAAGTCCCAAATCCAGCTCCTAGCTCATAAGGCAACCTGTACTATCTTCTTCCTCTCCTTGAGCCTTCACTCCCCCTCCAAGCTAGATGGATCTACTTTTAGCTTCCCAAAGGCCATGAGCCCATCTCTAACCTCCAGATCATCGTACACATTGTTCCCTCTGCCCACATTTTCAGCCTTTCATCTCTTGTCTGGCTAACTCCAACTCCCTCTTTGTATGCTGGCCAGGTTCTATATGCTTCTATAATTCATCAATCTTCTTTTTTTGGTCTTTTTTGAGACAGAGTTTCCCTGTAGCCCCAGCTGGCCATACTTGCTGGCATCAAACAGAGATCTGCTTGCCTCTGGCTCCCAAGTCTGGGATTAAAGGCATGCACCACCATGCCTGGCTAATTCATCAATCTTAGTTCTACCACATTTTGTTGTAATTGCTCGTCTGCCTTCCATGCTCAACTCTGTATGTTAAAGATAATGCCACTTTGCCCATCTTTGTACCCTAGTGCTAGTGATGTGATGAACAGTTAATAAATATTTGATTAATAAAGAAATTACTATTTTAGATTAGCAACCTGACACAAAAGGTGATTCTCTCACTCAGGGACTGGAACACATCGATCAGAATCCAAGACCTGTCTTCTCAATGCACTACAAAGTTCAGTCACATACTAGCCTGGTGTAGCTAGTACCCAAAAGAGAATGTAGGGGATATCCACAGGAAGGGAAATAGACCAAATTGGGAGATCATTTTATTAGTGTTAAATTTGTAGATTTTTGCTATCAGAAAGCCTGGAGCTAAGTTCTCTCAAAGTGACTATATGCTGCTCTAGGTTTTGGCTTCTCTATCTGTGAATGAAGGAACTAGAGAAGACTGATATCCAAGGGGCAATGTCTTAGTACCCCCGGCATGCCTCACTGCCTATAGAGATCAACACTTCAAACCATCCTCTTTCATTTTTCCTCAATCCTCATCTTCAAGAATACATCACTAGCCATCTACCTCCCATACCGTTACCCACACTGTCCCTTCCACTGTTGAAAGAAATTGAGACCAGAGTATTCTTAACCCCCAAGCCCAGCCCAGCACCCAGACCCACAGAGTCAGGAGGTGCTGAGTCCACATCTTTCCTCTTAGGTTTTATTGACTGATGGAAACTACACCTTTGTCAGTTTCCAGCTCCACAGGGACAGAGCTGGGGACAAGGAACCTGAGATGATGACAGATTTAAGTCTGAGAACAGAGTTCCAGATGGTGACCCAAGAGGGAGAATAAAGAAGACTCTGGGAAGGAGTTATGGGGGAAGAAAAGGCAATCAAGAAGTCCCTTCTAGCCTTCCCAGGATTCAGGAACAACCCAGGTCTCTGACCATGACATTCTGGACTCCTGCCCAAGAATATAGAATCAGTCCATGATCTCCAAACCCACCCAGCTCTTGCTGGCTGTCAGGCTCTTATCTCACCAGGTCCAGACTCCAGCTCAACCCAGGAAGGAAACACACCAGAGAAGCAAGTATTAAAGGTGGCCCATCTGATTAGGGCAAATGTATATGCTACAGCAAACTGGTCTGAGGCTTTGCATATTGTCACAGCAACAGCTGCTATTGCTAGAGTTTGCTGGAGGCCCAGCAGAGGACAAGTAGCAAGAACCCATTTCCAGCAGCCAAGGAAGTCAGTGGTAGTGTTTGTGCTATTTGTGTGTTGGAAGCAGTCTGACCCCTCAGCCAAAGGCTTGGGGTGGCAGGTCACTGCAGAGGCCACAGCCCATTAAGCCAGCCCACAGCCCATTAAGCATTCCAAGCTTCGGAATATGGAATTGCTGGGCCTGGTGAAGGGCAAAGACCTTGCCCCCTAGAGGATAGATTAGAGGTGAGAGTTCCCATCTCTGAACCCCAAAACTTGCATAGCATAGCCAAAGAGAAGAGGGACTCCCAATTCCCAATTCCTCTTGCTAGGCCAGAATATGGGTGTTAAACTACAGGAAGCTTTAACCTGCCTCTGAGGGCCCAAGGGGAGAAGCATGCAGGAAGCCAGCTGGAAGAAAGGGGCCAGCCCAGCATGCTGGGGCAAGGAGGCCAGGGGCGCATGGAATTCCAGTGCTTCAGCTCCCATCAGGAGAACTATCTGGACTGGAGGAAGTTTTCTGTTCTCTAGCTACTTCCCCCTCAGATGGGCCATTCCATGAAACTCCATTGCATAGTACTTAGCAGGGAGCATAAGGGATCCCCAGACCTATCCCTCTTTGCCTCCCTAAAATATGGCTTTGGAAAGGAGTCCCCAGGAGTAAAAAGAGCCCTCTGAATGAGCAGGCCCACCCCTCACAGGGAAGAGATCTTAACAGTCTCCGGGAGGAGGCAGGAGGTACCCAGTCTGGAGTTCCTGAGGGTACTGCTGGCTCGACCACCACTGCCACTGCCACCACCAGGGGAGGAGAGTTGGCTCTCATCTGGTGTGTTGGCAGGAGGGGTGGGGATACTGATGATGGCAGCCACGAAGTCCTGGCTGTCACAGTTCAGGTCAAGGCTATCATGGAGCTTGGCATTGAGGCTTGAGCGGCTGTGAACAGAGGTAGGAAAGATGTAAAACTTAAAACAAACATCGTCTTGATACTTTCCACAGCAATCTTCTCATTTATTGAGGACCTACTGGGTTCCTTGCACTGTGCTACATATTTTCCCTATGTACTCAATTATGGTAGTGGAGAGTGAGAACTCTGGAGTAAGCTGGTCTGGGGTTCAAATCCTGGTTACACTTTTACCATACTAAACCCCTCTTTCATCAGTAGCAATGGGAATAACAATATTCTGTACCTCATAGGGTTGCTGTGGAGACCAAATGAGATAATAAATGATACAAAGTGCTCTGAGCAGTGTCTGAAACATAAAGAATGCACACACATGCACATACATATATTTTTTGTGTGATGCTAGGGCTTAAATCCAGAGCCTCACACATGGTAAGCATACATTCTACCACTGAGCTATATACCCATAACCCACACAAGTATTATTTTCTTTTTTTAAAATTTTATTTGTTATTTTTATTTTATGTGTATGCGTGTATTGCCTGCATGTAAGTGCACCCATGTGCCCGCGGAGGACAGAAGAGGCTGTCGGATTCCCTGGAACTGGAGTTACGGAAAGTTGTTAGCTGCCATGTGGGTGTTGGGATTCAAACCCGGGTTTTCTGTAAAAACAGTCAGTGTTCTTAACTGCTGAGCCATCTCTCCAGCCCCACAAGTATTATTTTCTATTGTTACTCCTAACAGTGCCAAAATCCTTGCAAGTCTCTACTAGAAACTGGAAATGGTTACACACATCTGTAATTGAGGCACTCAAAAGGAGGATCATGAATTTGAGGCCAGCTTAAGCTACATACACAGTGAGACCCTATTTCAAAACAACAAAAATGTCTACATTAGAATCTATACAACTCCATTCCTTTCTGACTTGCCTTGTCTTCTCCTCTGTTTCCCCCTCCTACTCTACCCATAGTAGTTTCCTTGCTTGGCCTCTGAGCATCATAGGCCTAAAGGCATTTGAATGGGCTGGACATGCTAAGAAGGCCCTTCCTCTAGCTACCTGCATAGCTTACTCCCTTGCCCTCATTCAGACCTGGGCTTAGATGTTATCTCAGAAAACTTTATTTTTATTTTA